CCTCTCTGCCCCCACCTGGGCCCTTCTTGGCAACCCTTCTTGTTCTCACCTGGCCAGGCCCCACTGGCTTATCACTAAACTAATTCCTGTCCCTGACAAAGTTTCCCCGAGCCCCCTCCATGGAATCGTGGTCTCTGGCTTCTTTGTATGTGTGCCGCAGTCTACTCCGTTGCTTGAACAAAGTGCCATCTGCTGGGGGTTCAGACAACAGGCTTTTATTTCACACAGTTCTGGCGGCTGGGGGTCTCGAGGTCAGTGTACCAGCATGCTCAGGGTCTGGTACTAGCCTATTTCCTGGCCCACAGATGGCCACCTTCTCACTGTGTGCCCCTACGGCTTTTCCTCACAGTGTACATGTGGAGAGAGCTGTTTTCCTCTTCTTAGAAGGGCACCAGTGCCATCATGGGCTCCCACCTTCACAGCCTCACCTAAACCTAATTGCCTGCAAAGGCCCTGCCTCCAGACACTGTCACATTGTGGGGTTAGGGCTTCAACATATGTATTTTGGGGTGGACACAAATATCAGTCTGTAACAGTCAGTACACTTCTTCCAGATGCCTCCTTCCTGGGTGGGCTCTAGAGTATTGCCTAGATGACAGCTGGGGGGAGGCCAGCCAGCCTAGGGGAAGACCCCTGAGGAAGGAGACGCCCCTCTTCCGAAAATGGTGGACACATAATGTAACCTCACTGGCCTCAGTTTCCTTTTCTGTAGCAATGAGGGTGATGGTACCCCCCCACCCCAGTCATCACGAAGTGTGAGAAGCCCAATGACAGGGCACCTCTCAACGCAGGGCCTGGACCTGCAAAGGACTTGGCTTATGGGAGCCAATAGCCCCATGTGGGCACATTTAATCCTCTGAAAAATGCCACCAGGCAGGTGTTTGCATCCCCTCTTATCTTTTAAGGCAGCTGAGGCTCAGAGAGATGAACTGGCTGAGCCAGCATCATCACTGCAGAGAAGAGAGGACGGTGGGCTGCAGACACCTCACTCCCTGGCAGCGTGAGCTTATCACTCTTTCAGGGAGGCAAGTGGTGTCCCCTCTAAACAGGTGTTCCCCACCTGGAATGTGGGGTTGGGGGGACTCCCCAAGTGGAGTGCCTTCCCCACCACCATCACTGTTCCACCCCATAGTGCACACAAAGACATGCACACGAGGGGACACACACTGCGATATACACAGGGACAAAAACACACACCCATACCTACAGAGGGACATGGGGGGACACATAGACTCATGGACACACAGGGACATGGAAACATCTAGAACGATACATAGAAACACAAGAACATGACACACACATGAGGACACAGACACAGAAATATATATACAAGAGACACACACGGGGCAACACGGAAATCAGGACCCATACACTGACGGGGATACACACATACAAAGACATGCCTGCCTACATGGAGACACACACAGAGAGACACAGAGACACATGGATTCTTTTTCGCACAAACGCACTCCTGTGGCACCCCCAAGGGACTGGCTTTCCTGAGTCACTGTCCCATAGACCTTGAGAATGGTGCTGCACTACCCTGGGGTCCAGCGGGTTCCAGGTCTTCTCCTACAGCTCTACCCAGGGCTGGGACTGTTTGCTCTGCATGAGATGCTGAGGCAAAGGGACAGTCCTTTCTAGCCACCTGACTTCACACCCTCTTTAGACCACAGCCCACAGTGCCATGGAGCTGTGAGCCAGTGCAGCCAAGCTGTGTGACCCTCCTGTGTCCCCTCAAGGGACAGGTACTGCAGACAGGGCTAGTGAGCATTTCCAAGTGGGACATCTCCTGGGCAGACAGGGTCCTCCTGGCTCTACACTGGTCCCATGTGGGCTGGCAGGGCTTCTCTGCAGAAGCCCAGGATCTGAGAAGAGGCCTGGGTGATGGCCACAGGGTCCAGCAGCCTCTTGGATGCCTCAGCCTAAGGGCAGAGAGGCCCCTCAAAAACACTGTTGGGCCTGCACCTGCTTCATCCCTCCTTCATTTCTGTCCTCCTCTCTGATCGTCTACCCTTGGCCTCTCTCCTTCCTGAAATGGTGTCTGTGCAGATAAGGGTTTGCTGTGGTTTCTTCATGGACCTGTTTCAGCGGCAGGATCCCTCTTCAGCCTGGGGCTTTGGGCTGGACTCTGAGCAGGGCTGATCCCAGGCCTAGGCCGGCTGAGCTCCAGAGCCAATAGGAGGCATCTACCCAGGCGACAGGGCCCTAGGCTGTGCATTCAGCATGGGACCACCAGCCCTAAGAGTCAGTGCCTCAGGACTACCCCTGGGCCTGGGGAAATGTGGACAGAGGCAGTGTGATGCCTGGCCCTCCCCCTCCCTCACACTCCCCTCGCCTGCTGCCCTGACCCCTCCCCCCAACTCTGGTCTCTCTCCTGGGGTCCAGGCTCCCTTTGTGGATTTGCCAGAGTATAGTTGGGGACCTGTTTTCCTGGGGCTGGGAGACCCCTCCTGCCCAATTCCTGGATATTTTCTGTTTGGGCATGCCAGAAGACCCCAGGGTGGCCTGGGGTTCAGAAGCAAGACCCAGTGCTTCCTCTGGAGGGAGGGCAACTGTGACAAGACAGGGAAAACTCACAATGAAAGAGCCTTACTCTGAAGATAGCCACTGCTGTCCAGTACCCGCACACTGCAAGGGTCTGGCAGGTGACATGCACGACTCACACTCTCTGCTCTCCCTCAGAGACAGAGCGTGGCACAGAGCAGGGCTCAGACTGGGATGCTTTGGGGGCAGTGGGCTGACTAGGAAGTGTCGGGGCTCCCTTGGCTTTGGGGCTTCTCTTAGAAAGATGAGGGTTTATATAGGCAAGAGTTTACAGGGAGGGTCGTGGCGACTGTCACAGTATCCAAGAAGAGTCTGTCTGTCACAACCTCCCAAGGCTGCAGGCTGACCCCCACGGGGTCTGTGTGCTCCTCACAGTCAGCCATGTGTCCTCTCCACACAGCAGGGCAGGCATGTGGGCTGCCTCAAGCACCAGGGAATACTCAGTGGTCTTGTGGAGGATGAATGCGACACTTCAGCTGAAGGAGTGAGCAGCAGGACCTTGCAGGGAGAGAGGGTGGGCTGGCTGAGGGGTGGAGGAGGGTGGGCGCTGCTGGGACTCCGGGCATTTCTGACCTGCTGGTGAGGAGTCTACTTCTGAGCTGGACATCGGGGGCCCTCTGCTGGTGGTGGCCAGAAGCTCAGCCGCTTTGTATGGAGAAAGGATCCACGTCCTGCCACAGAGGGTCCCTGGGTCCCTGCCCCTTGGGCTGGAAGACCCTCTCCCCTGTCCCTGCTGCAGAGGCATCTGTCCGTTCATTCCTCTGGGACTTCAGGGTCCCAGGAGCCTTCACAGACCTGCTCCCTGACGAGGACCCAGCAGTCAGGTTTGTCCTAGGCTTTGCCCTAGGGTCTCCAGCTCCGTGTGGATGTTTCTCCAGGTGCACACACTTTATTGCTTCCTGTAGCCGCCATTGCCAGGTGGGCTCTCTGCCCATGCCAGGCGGGCAGGGGGTGAATGACAATGAGTCATGGCCTTGGAAGGCAGGCAGTCTTCCAGCGCTTCCACTTAATGCTCTTCCATTTAAATCATTCGCCCCTGGAGCCAGGGGCCAGCTGGCCATTGTGACCTGAGCTGAATGTGACAGTGACGTGTGGCTTTTGCACCTGGGAGTGCTGGGGCCCAGCCCAGGCTATACTTGCTTCTGGGCAGCTCTGCTGGCTCCAGCTCTTGCAGAGAGTCTGGGAGAGTTCGGGAGGCACAGGCTCCCCAAGAAGAGTCTGAGGTTGCAAGTGGCAGGGAGCCAGGCGTGGGCCTGCCAAGCACACCAGGGGCGGGGGGAGGGGGGTGGACATACCTCCAGCTGGGGAGATGCTATGGATATGGATCATTCCAGTATATGTACCTGATCCTCCAGGCCCTTCCCTGGGCTTTTTAATTCCAAGGACAGAGTCTACTGAGCATCTCTGCTTGCTCAGTCACCTGAGTCCCCTGCCTGGGACAGGTGGTAAACCTCCCAGAGGCTCCCGTTTCTCATCTGTGAGATGGGCACAAGGACCTGCTCGCAGGGTGTCGTGGGGATCACATCCGATGATGAGGCCATGTGCTTGCACAGCGTACCTGAAATGTGCATAGGAAAGGGGGAGGCTCGCCACGTCAGCCTCTCATCCTGTCTTTGTGTCCTTGGCACAGCTCCGTGTTGACCCTCATGAGGTGCCGGGCACTCTTTTTCAGAAGAATTACCGACTTACCTTGGTGTGCCATTCAGCTACCCCCGGAGCTGTATGAGCCAGTGGAGTGTTCTTGTCTTTCAGATGAAGCACCCGGGTGCAGAGGCACATGGCTTGCGTGTGGGCTGGTGCCTCCTGTCCCCCTGCTCAGTCTAGGTCCAGTGTGTCCTGGGCAGGTCACCTCAGACTGCAGGTATCCAGGCATCTTATGTGGGCTTCTGCCCATCAGTGGGCACTGACCCTAAGAAGCCCAGGGCATAGGGTCCCAGCTCTGGGCCCCCTGCTGGGCCTCCTGCTGCCCTCAGAACTAAGCCAGGCCTTCTTGGAGCACACTGGGCCTGCCTCCTCTCCACTCACCAGGCTGCCCCATCCATGTTTGTCTCACCGTGGGCCTGTGCTATGATGGTCCTTCTGTAAGAAGGCCCTTCGCATGGCCAGCCTCTTACCTGTTCTGGGTCTCCAGTTGCTGCCCTACAGAAGCAGGGACCACCCTGCTCACAGGGGTTTCCTGCCATCGTTTTCTCTGCACACCACTGACATAGCTGTAATGTCCCCCTCCCCAGCCTTCAGGCCAGCGGCTGGTACCCTGTCCACTCACCCTCCTCCACAGGCCGAGCACCCGAGAAGCTTTGCTGAACAAAGAGAAAAGCGTATGTGTGTGTTCGCTGAGATGGGGGAGCACTGGAGACTGGGTCTGAAAGTGGGAGACTAAGTCAGTGAAGGCCCCCCCCCCCCCCCCCCCCCCGGCCCGCTGCCCTGACTCAAGCCCCCACTGCCCCCCACAGCACCGGCAGCTGCTGAAGGACAGCTTCATGGTGGAGCTGGTGGAGGGGGCCCGTAAGCTGCGTCACGTGTTCCTGTTCACGGACCTGCTCCTCTGTACCAAGCTCAAGAAGCAGAGCGGGGGGTAAGTGACCACACGGTGCCCGTCCTGCCAGATGGGGAGGGTTTTGGGGCCGGGCGCGGGGCTAGTCTCATGGGCAAAGGAAACCTAGCTTTCTTTTTTTTTTTTTTTTTCTTTCCCTTGGGCAGTGAGCCTGAAGAGTTCGGTAACTATGTGTCCAGGCCACTTTCTTTAGGTCACGTTTCCAGCTGGCCGTGATGCCAGGCTCAGGGTGAAAGGTCACCACTAACAACTTGGGGACATTCTAGGTCAGGATCAGTGATCGGTCTGTTACCTTCTACAGTGGAAAGGGAACCTACCTGATGAGGTGCTCTTGGGGGTCTGTCATGTGATGACCCAGAAAAAGTGGCAGGTCAGAGAGCTGCAGGGTCTGGTGCAGGCTGGCAGGTGAGGGAGCAGGGTGGGGAGTGGGGGACATCACTAGACCATCCCGGTACTTTGTCTCCGCAGACCTGGTGAGAGCTTCTAAATTATTCTCAGCCTAGGCTGCACACCACCCCCCAACACACCCCTCCTCTCGGGAATCAGACCGCCCAGGTTGCACCAGCTGTGAAGGAAATAAGAGATTATATTGAGAAAGACCAGAACTGGGGTTTTTCCCCCGTTCTGCCATTACCATACTGAGTACACTTAAACCAGTCACCTCAGAAGACAGCCTCAGTTTCCCCTTCTGTCACGGCAAGGGATTACCCCCAGGAGATCTGTAGACCCTCAAACTCTACGGCTCTGGGGGTGTCTGCAGTCCTGTCCTGTTGGTGGATGCCCCCCACTGATGTGCTTCCACATCAGGGGGCCTGTGAGCCGCCACCGTCTCAACCCAGGATGAGGTGGATCAGGCCTAAGTCACACAAGCAGAGTGCCCATTGCTAGTGGTCACCAGGACTGGGTCCCCAGTGTCGGCCAGAGACCTTATGCCAGCATGTCACACGGATCCCAAGCTAGGTTTCAAGGTCTTGTAAACTATGCGAGCCTCAAACTTAGGCTTTTCCGGTTCTTGAGAGCAGTGACATTAGCAAAGAAGAAGCAGTCCATGTGTTAATGTGCTGTTTCCTCCCCCAGCAAAACCCAGCAGTACGACTGCAAATGGTACATCCCACTCACGGATCTCAGCTTCCAGACGGTGGACGAGTCAGAGGCGGCTCCCAGCATCCCGCTGGTGCTGGACGAGGAGCTGGATGCCATGAAGATCAAGATATCCCAGATCAAGAACGATATTCAGAGAGAGAAGGTGAGACCAGTTGGGAAGGAACAAACCTAGGCCTTGCAGCTGGAGCGGCAGCCAGCCCTCACACACGGGTGTCTGGTGTCTGATCCACTTCCGGCCTTGGAGATCTGCTGGGATCCCTGCGAGCCTGCCTTCAGGCTTGGAGCCATCCAGTGTGTGGGGTGGGGGAGGTGCCCGGCTGCACCGATGGAGAGAGGATCCCAGGATGGGAGATCAGCCCCTATAGGGGACTGGACTGGCCCAGGCAGGCCCCTGGTTGTTTCTGGAGAGATTATAAGACTTGAGGAACAGTGAGGGTTCGCATGTAAGGTTAGCCCCGGCCAGAGCAGGCACCATGCGGTGGCCACAGACGAGGTGGGTCCCCAGAAGGTTGGGCTTTGGTTCAGGGATACCTGGCTGAGCTGGGCTCAGCAGGACAGGGGTCCTCCTCCCCCTGGCCTACGGCTCCACACCCCCCAACCCGTGGCCTACGGCTCCACAAACCCTGTAGGCTGAGGAAGGCTCTGGGAGCAGTGGGGACGGGATGGGCAGGAACAGGTAGCACGGGCCCCCGGGATGGAAATGTGACCGTGTGGCCTCTCCCCACAGAGGGCAAACAAGGGCAGCAAGGCCATCGAGAGGCTGAAGAAGAAGCTGTCAGAGCAGGAGTCGCTGCTCCTGCTCATGTCCCCCAGCATGGCCTTCAGGGTACACAACCGCAACGGCAAGGTGAGCGCCCGCCACGATCTCACTCAGCCAGCTGGGGCCTCCCCCTTCTTGCCCCGGCAGATGCTCCTGGCCCCTGGGTCCCATGTAGCTGGAACCTCGCTGTGCTGTGGCCGAGACCCACCGCCCAGCTGGGTGGCAGCTTCGTTCCCTGGCTCCTGTGTGGCAGGTACAACAGCAGCCCTTTACCTCTGGAGGGCACTCCCACACCACGAGAGGCTAGCTAGTTCAGTACGGCATACCCAGGCCCATGTGTCCCTCGGACCGGTTCTTTGGGCCAAAGCCCCCAGATTGACCTCAGCCCTTATAGCTGGGAGGTGGCGGGGTCTCCAGGAAGTCTGACTAGGGCAGGGGGTTCGCAGGTTTGTGCAGACCCGGACCTCAGTACAGGGATTCCGTCTGGGGACCTCGTGGGCCTGGGGGAACCTTCTGTCCTGAGTCTGGCTCCTGGTGCCGTCTGGAGTAAGGGCCTCTCCCTCGCCGGGCATCACACATGGCCATCAGCGGGCAGCCTAGGGAGGCAGCTGGTGGGCTCTGTGAGAGCCTCATCTCTGGGTCACAGCTCAGGGCCTGTGTGTTGGACGCAGGTGAACAGGGTGGCACCAGCCCTCACTTCTGCAGATCCCACCTGGTTACCTTCTCTGTGGCCCTAAGTCACAGCATGCCATGCCCTGGCCCAGGCCATCCAGGCAGGGGGCGGGTTCCAGAGGCAGAGCTGCGTGGGGCACGGGAGCTGTGGCCTAAAGCCCAGCTGGCAGGAAGGGTGGAGAGTGCCAGAAACACAAGCCAAGCTGTGAGCACACTCAGCCACCAGGCTCCAGCCAGCCTCTGGCACCCGGGTACGTGTGCCTTGGAGGGGTGCACTGCTAGAGCACATGTGGACAGTGATGGGGAGTGAAGGATGCATTCTCCTTCTCACTCCCCAGAGTTACACGTTCCTGATCTCTTCTGACTATGAGCGTGCTGAGTGGAGGGAGAACATCCGAGAGCAGCAGAAAAAGTGTAAGTGGCATCTGCAAGGAGAGACTTGGAACCTTGGGGCTGGATATTCATCTCCTCCTATGGTTTCAAGCCTTTTCTTCCTGAGGGCTGGGCAGTGGCTCTCTTACCCAAGTGATGCTACATGAGCTCTGATTCAGAAAATAAATTGGACAGGAGCTCCTGCTAGGGCCCTGCCCTCTATGCCCGCTTTCCTAGGCACCCCCCACATCCCCTGTATGTCACCCCCACCTGCTTTCTGACCTTCCCTGTGAACTCTCCCTCTCCCCCAGTGCCTTTCCTAAATTCCCCACCTCCCTCCTGAACCTCCCTACTCTGATGCCTACCTGTCCTCTGTGGACACCCCTCGCCGCTGCCTGCCCTGCCCCCTGGTCTCCCTCAACCCCCAGCAGGTGCTGATGCCAAAGAGGTCCTTGGCTGGACCCGCCCAGGCAGCCACACTGTGCTAGTCCCAGTGCTTGTCCAAGGGGCCAGCACTTGATCACTCTTAGGGTAGGGTGCTCACTCTTCTCTGGGATGGTCCCTTTCTTGGGTGCTTCCCTCTCTTAGCAGTTACCACCTTCTCCTGAGCTCAGAGCTGCCCCTGGGCCTGTCTGGCAGGTTTCAGGAGTGGGAAGGCAGACCCTGCCACAAGTCCCAGGGCTGCCCCACTTGGGTCCTTCCTCTGCACCCCAGCTGTGTGGTTCAGGATTCCCAAACTATCCTTGCTAAGAGGTTCCCAGGTGTGCTCCATCTGGCACTGTTTTGAGAGTGCCTGCAGAGAGAGCCAGGCTGCACACGGTGTCGCAGGTGGGCTGGGAGCTCCACACCTCTGCCCTGTCCTGAGCTCCCATTCCTCCAGGCTTATCGTCCTTGCCTGTGCTGAGCCGTAACCACCCCCCCACACACACACACAGTGCCTGCTCCCCTTCCTGGGCTCGTGTCCCAGGTGTGCTTTCATAACCAGGGGACCCCAACCATTTGCAGCATGACAGCGTCTGTTCCCTACTCAGCGCTGCAAAAGAAATCAGCCCCCTTTCCTCACCTGATGGAGATCCAGGGACCCTTGCTGGCAGAGCTCAGGGCAGGGCTCTGCTGGGTGTCTGTGTGGAAAGATGCTCCAGGCCGCCCTCTCACAGTTACCTTGTGGCTGTGCTTAGGTGGCAGGCCCGCTCTTGTGTTCGCAAGCCTTATGCTAATTCCTCCTGCCCTCCTAGCCCAGCCTCAGCCAAGGCCACGCCTTGCTTGGCCATTTACCCGCTCCTCCTTTGGGAGCGGGTCGCCCCCTCCTGGCCACCGCAGCTCATCACCATGGTGAAGGTCTTGCATGGGGACATCAGAGAACACCCTCTGGGTGTCCCCGGGGTCTGGGGAACCATGCAGGCTGGCTGGTTGATGCACCTGGTTTCTACCCTCTCAGGTTTCAAAAGCTTCTCGCTGACGTCCGTGGAGCTGCAGATGCTGACCAATTCGTGTGTCAAACTGCAGACCGTCCACAGCATTCCACTGACCATCAACAAAGAAGGTGGGCTGTCCTCCCAAGGGCTGCTGTCCCTTTCTGCTGTCAGCACTGTCTTTGGGACCATACGTTTCTCAAAGGAACGCCTGTGCTGCTAGGGACTTGTCAGCCCCTTCCAGGAGTGGATGGGATGGGTCAGGGGTGGTCTGTCCCCAGCTGCTGGGTGGTTGAGGAGACACATGACTTTGTTCCTGGTCATATGACACATCTCAGATCCTCTGTGCTCTGGGTCCGGCCCTGCTCCCCTGTCCTCCCTTTGGTCATGCTGCATTTTGTGTCCACTCATCCACATACTTATGTCTATTCATTCCTGCTCACGGGCACTTGGGATGTGCACACATCCCCTTTCCTGTCCTGGGAACCTTATTACTCTTCACCTCAGTCACGGGTCTGCTATGCTGTGAACCCAACTCAGATCCTCAGGTCCCTGAGTCGGAGGCTACAGTGGATATGTTTCTGGCTCATGACATCCCCTGGCCCCGAGCTGAGCAAATGGCCGTCACATGGTGCTCCCCTCGAGGGTTGGTTTTGAAGCAGAGCCTGTCACCTGCCTCCCTGTCTCAGGAGCATGGATGCTCACCTCTCTGCTCTCTTGCACAGATGATGAATCTCCCGGGCTGTACGGGTTCCTGAATGTCATCGTCCACTCCGCAATTGGCTTTAAGCAGAGTTCAAGTAAGTGATTGGTTTGGGGAGGAAGGGAGCAGGGCACTGACCTGGAGGCTGTGAGGAACCAGGGTCATGACTCAGATTATCGTCAGATGCCTTGGACCCTAAACCCTGTGAGGTCCTGTGCAGGTTGGCACGCCTAGTGGACTGTTACCGGTCTCTGGTCCCTGGTCCCTGGACCAGATGTGCAAGCTGCTGAGCTGCCCCCTGCAGGCGGGTCTTGTAATTACAGGCACTGGGATCGGCTCCGGCAGGAGGCACAGCCTGGGTTCCAAGCTGTGGAAAGCTGGGCCTTGACCCAGCCAGCAGAGTAGATTTGGCTGCTGAGAGCTAAATGGATCCCCTTTTCCTCCCACCCCTCCGAGGTGGGGAGCGCCTTGCAGGTGCTCAGGCGGGGGCTGGTTGCTTTTCAATTTAGGACAGCACAGGCTGCACCCCCCAGCGTGCCACTTCCTCGTGAGTCCTTGGGGACCCCTTGTAGGAGGATGCAGGACAGGGGCTGTGCTGCTGTGCTTTCCCACTGATGCTGCAAAGCTGAACGAGAAATCACCGACAAGCCACAGCCAAGAAGACAGAATTTACAAACTGTGTGTGTGTGTGTGTGTGTGTGTGTATACATGATACAGGACTTGTGTTCAGAGTATAAAGAACTCTGAGAACCGCAGTGCAAAGGACACAACCTAGTTTTTAAAAATGAACAAAAAATTTGAATATACTTCACCAAAGAAATACAGGTCGCTAATTAGCACGTGAAAAGGTGTTCATGGTTGTAGGGAAATAGAAATTAAAACCACAGTGAGGGGACGCCTGGGTGGCTCAGTTGGTTAAGCAGCTGCCTTCGGCTCAGGTCATGATCCCAGCGTCCTGGGATCGAGTCCCACATCGGGCTCCTTGCTCAGCAGGGAGCCTGCTTCTTCCTCTGCCTCTGCCTGCCATTCTGTCTGCCTATGCTTGCTCTCTCTCCCTCTCTCTCTCTCTGACAAATAAATAAATAAAATCTTTAAAAAAAAAAAATAAATAAAATAAAACCACAGTGAGATCCCACTTCATACCCACCGGGATGGCGATAATCAAAAAGGTGCACAGTGACAAATGTCAGTGGGAGTGTGGAGAAATTGAAACCCTCAGGCCCTCCGCTGGTGGGGATGTGAAAGGGTTCAGCCTGGAACCTGGAAGACAGTTTGACGGTTTCTTAAAAAGTTAAACACACCTCTACTGTGTGACCCAGCAGCCCTGCTTTTAAGTATTTACTCTAGAGAGATGCGCGCGTGTTCACATAAAACACGCCATGTTCATCCACGTGACGGAGCGCCACTCAGCAGTAGAAAGGTACAGAGTATTGATAAAGGCAACCACGGGGATGAATCAAAAGAGAATTATTCCTAGCAAGACACCTGATTCAAAAGACTACATGTCATATCATTCTGCTTGTCAGAAATTTTGAGAAAATCACCATTTGGAGACGGAAAGCCTGGCAGGGGTTTCCTGGGGCTCATGGTGGGAGGAGACTTGTCTGCCGTTGAACCCAAGGGGCCTTTTTGGAGAAAGGGCAGTGTCCTAAAACAGTGGCAGTGCTGTTTGCACAAGTGTTTAAATTTTTTGAAAATCCCCAAACTTGTAACAGATGGGTTCTGTAGTATGCAGATTATAGCTCCATAAAGTCATCACACAGATGTAATTGTTCCCCTGGGCGCACCGGCCTCACGCCCCCCTCACATAAATGCTGGTGTTTTTAAGGGTTCCATATAGGCCTTCACTATAAATACTCCCTCCTTCCTGCAACCAGGGACCTTTCCATCAACAGCGCATATGATGCCTAGCTCCTTCCTCTCCATCCCCACTCTGCTCTCCTGGGCCCCCTCTGTTATCTTTCCATCTGGGTCCTCAGCATCCCACACTCCAAACTCCACATTCCCACAGTGACCCTGTCGCTCGGCCCCTAAACTTATTCCTCTTATGTCCTGCCCCAGTGAGAAGTGCCACCGTCCACCCCATGGCCAGGCCAAAAACCACCATGTGGTTTACTGGCCATATCCGTAAGATAACATTCCCCGTCAGTGAAGTTTCATTGTTACCTCTGGCCCCCTGCCCCAGCCTTCTTCTGACACTGGCAGTGGCCTTGCTGCTGGTCCTTACCTGCACTCCCCCTATGCCCCACAATTCTCCCAGCACGGAGCTGTTTGTAGTGCCCTCCCCCCCCACCCACCCCGCCCTGCAGCACCGTGTGCCTGTTAGGTTGGTAAGCTCAAACTGCACAGGTGATAGGCACTTCCTCTGGCTCCACCCCTCTGTATGCATCCTCGTCTTGGTGGTCATGGTCCATTCACCTCTGCCCAGGTCACCAGCCGTAGGGCTTTGCTCACATAGAGGCTGTAGTCAGGTTTTGGCAGGGGGCCAAGTGAACACATTCTGAGATCTGCTGGTTCGGTTGCACTATGGGGTGGAATCATTGCATGAAGTGCTGGGACTCCATGCTGGCTGCTGGTGTGTTGTTTTAAAAAGAAAATTAAAGGGGCCCCTGGGTGGCTCCACTGGTTGGGCATCTGCCTTCAGTTCAGGTCCTGATTCTGGAGTCACAGGATCAAGGCCTGTGTCAGGCTCCCTGCAGTGGGACATCTTGCTTCTCCCTCTCCTCTCCCTCTGCTTCTCCCCCCTCTCAAGCTCTCTCCCTCTCACTCACTCACCCTCTCTCTCTCTCTCAAATAAATAAATAAAATCTTAAAAAAAAAAAAAAGAAAATGAAGGCCATTTTCCCCTGATTTTGAAAATGTCCAGGAACAAGAATTTCTGTCTCCTTCAAGGATCCTTTCAGTTGGACTAAGAATCAGATTGACAGGAGACCAACTAACAAGAGAAAATTAATAGCGTTTAAACAGGAAATCGACATGGACTTGGAAATTACAGAGCTGGTTAGGCAAAATGAGGCATATATGTCATTCTGAACTAAGGAGAAGGGCATAGGGGTCTGGGAGTTCAAAGGACAGGAATGCACATGACAGGGCAATAAGAATAGATATTTGGGGATGCCCAGGTGGCTCATTTGGTTAAGTATCTGTCAGGGTCCTGGGATCGAGTCCCGTATCAGGTTCCCTGCTCATCGAGGAGCCTACTTCTCCCTCTGCCTGCCAGCCTGGAAACTTTACTTGGTAAGTTTCCTACTTGTGCACTCGCTTACTCCCCCTCACACACAAATAAATAAAATCTTTTTTTTTTTTTAAAGATTTTATTTATTTATTTGTCAGAGAGAGAGAGAGAGAGAGCGCGCACGCACGAGATTGAGCACAAGCAGATAGAGTGGCAGGCAGAGGCAGAGGGAGAAGCAGGCTCCCTGCTGAGCAAGGAGCCTGATGTGGGACTCGATCCCAGGATGCTGGGATCATGACCTGAGCCGAAGGCAGCGGCTTAACCCACTGAGCCACCCAGGCGTCCCAAATAAATAAAATCTTAACAACAACAACAAAAAGTTTGTCCTGCCATACCGGTGGGTCACTCAGATAAAATTTATCTCTGCTCATAACACTTATTTTGAGAATCCCCCCTCCCCAATCTAGATTCTTCTGTATAGTTAAGGGAAGGGCAAAAGTTTCTCTTCGGCCCATAGAGTCTTAATTACCTTCAGCTCAGAGTAATCTCCATGTCACAGTGGCCTATCCTGGGGCAGCCTGCCCTTGGCCCCCTACAAAAAATAACCCCTGCTGTCATAGAAAATGCGGGTAATGTGGAAAAGTGGGTCACCTTCCCTGTGTTGTCCTTCCGTAGATCTGTACTGCACCCTGGAGGTGGACTCCTTTGGTTATTTTGTGAATAAAGCCAAGACACGCGTTTACAGAGATACAACGGAGCCCAACTGGAATGAGGTGAGCTACTACTTCCAGATAACTTCTTGAGCACTGGCCCTAGCAGGCATCCCAGGATCTTGTCCCTGTGGAGAGTCTGAACCACCCCCCTCCCCCACTCCCGGGGCTCCCTAATGGCTTCCCATCTCCCGAGGCCCTGCCACAGCCAGCATTCCACCAGCATGCCAGGAATCTCCTGGGAGGAGGGGGGCTAGTCCAAGAGATTTTATCTCTGTTCCTGAGAATCCAACCCCCCCACACACACATACATCACAAAGAAACAGCCTGGAGAAGCTTTTGGAAAACAAACTTAAAAGGGCGTTTTGTGCTGCCTTTGTTACTGCTTAGTGTTTACTTGGTAAGTTTCCATAGCGTTTTTCCTTGGAAGTTGGAATGAGCCCTGTGACCCTCTTGGTTTCTGGAAGCCTGGGACTCTGCCAGCCGGGGATGGGGTAGGGACCTGATTTGCCTGTCAGGTAGTTTGCTGCTCTGTTCTCCTTCACTTTGGAGAGCTGTTGTGTTAACTAGCTTACTGTCTTGCCTTGAGCCTTTAGGAGTATAGGAATGATTACAGAGTGGTTAATATTGACGAACCTCCCAGATCTGTGAGAATGCCATTTCCCAGTTTCTGGAGCAGCTGTGGCCCTCAAAGGCTTCATGCTTAAAGATATGGGTGGGGACACACCACGCAACCCCCTTGCAGAAAAAGCAGCTAAGTCCGACCTGGCTGCCTGGTCCACCTCAGGTCGTGTGGCTTGTAGAGCCGTGGGGCCAAGCCCCCAGCTCTCCTTTCTTGGTGTCCCCTACTCTGATCATCAGACTTGATGCCTTAGCAGGTCTGGGGGCATGAGGAGCCCACAGGATTGACCAGGCATGAGAGCTCTGGGCATCCCTGCAGAAAGGGTGGTGGCTTTCGTGGCAAAGGAGCAGCATAGCCACGTGGAACCACCAAAGGCTTTGCCAGGAGCAAGAGGGCTGTGACTGACAGGGGTAGTGAGGGAGGGGTCCTAGACGCAGCACAAAGGGTTCAGGTGCGAGCCAGCAGTGGAGGCTCAGAGAACCAAGGCACGAGGGTTCCAGACCAGCAGGTCACCTGGTGGCCAGCCTGGGGGTACGTCCGGATCGTCCAGGGGTGTTACGTGTTCCCAGCACACGCGCCCTCCCCACCCCCATGCAGGCTCAGAAATCTCTCCTTTTTTCTTTTCTGTCACCCTCTTTTCCATTTCCCCACCACGACCCTGTGCTGGCAACAGCACTGGTGTGAAATGCAGAATTTACTGAAGGTATCCTGAGGTGATGGAGGAGAAAGTTAACACAGCTCCAAAGCCTACAGAAGCAGTTCTTTCGTCTCCTCTGTCACCTCTCTGGGGCAATTTTTTTTTTCCCCCTTTCAAATACATTGATTTTTTTAGAGCAGCTTTAGGTCCAGAGCAGAAAGGACAGAGATTTGCCATAGAACCCAGTCCCCAAACATGCAGAGCCTTCCCCACTAATCAGTGATTCTAACTGACACATCATTATCACCCAGAGTCCACAGAAAACTGCATTTGTGACCAACACCCCTGAGCTTCTGGTGCAGGTGCTGTGGGGACTGCCCTTTGACATTCTGGCTTTAAGAGTTTCGATTAGATGTTAGAGGCATTCAGAGCTTCCAGAAGCATCCAGGCTGGACCACAATGGGGCACTCACAGGGAGGTAGCTTCTGAGGGTCTTCGTTGCAGGACTAAAGTGGAGAGGGTCTTGAGGCATGGATCCTTCTGGGGCAGTAAGGAACCCACTGGACTTCCCTTCCCCCAACAATGAGGGACTTTCCTTCTTTCTTGGGACTTCAGGAATTTGAGATTGAGCTGGAAGGCTCCCAGACCTTGAGGATACTGTGCTATGAAAAGTGTTACAACAAAACGAAGATCACCAAGGAGGACGGCGAGAGCACAGACAGGATCATGGGCAAGGGCCAGGTCCAGGTGAGGCCTTCCCGCTCCTCTGCTTCCTGCAGAGTCCCTCTGCCCACCACTGTGTCCAGCACACCCTCGTACACCTGCCCCTGGGCCGGCCCATACCCTCTGCCGGATGCTCGCCATTCTTTTCCCAGTTGACCTGGGACAAGAGATGGTTCAACTCCAGGGATCAAGAGCAGGTGCTCCCAGACTTGGAGAGGGACCGTCACAGGTTCTTTCCTGCTCATCTCTCTGTTTGAGTGTCTGTCATGCCCCATCTTGTCCCCAAAGGAAGTTCAGTTTGGCTTGTTCTCACAGCCTGGGCTTCAGTTCCTCCACGGCCTTGTGTTTCCTGGGCCTCACCTGTGCAGTTCTACACGCCAATAGAGGAAGCCCTGATATCTGTGTTCCTTATGGCCTCTTACCAAACCTGGCCAAGCAGGTTCCTCCCTGCCCTGCCCTGGGCACCAACTGCTCCAGCTCCTCTCCTACCCTCCCACCCTCCCCTCTGGTAAAGCCTCCAGCAGGAGTGGGCTGGGCACTCCAGGTGTTGTGGTAGAAGGAGGCTGTCCACAAAGCCCCACCTCTCTTCCTGAGGGCAGGACATTGCTTTTGTGCTGAAATTCTGAGCAGCATGGATGAAGGAGAGGGAGAGTGACTCATCCCTGAGTAATTTTGTCTTCTTGGGAGGGAGCACATATGTTCATCCTTCAGAAGAGAGCAAGTCCTCACTTAGCTCCAGACCCCCTCTCTGTTTTGCCCGGTTCTCAGGTTCTGGTTCCCTAGGTTTTCACGGCTGCCTACTTTCCTACCCTGGAAGCTTATTAGGGAATTCGTTGGCTCAGGGCCTCCAGGGACCCCCTCATACCCTGTACCTGAGACCAGGTCTAGAAGCAAAAATGCTCCTCTGACTGCCTTGTGTGTGACCTCTCCCTCTACCCCCCCAAAAACCTACCTTCCAGCAGACACCACCCCGTAGCCCATACCTTCCCAGGAGAGCCGGCCCAGGACCTCAGCCACCCCCCACAGAAAGGAACTGGGGCTGGACCAGCCTGGGGCAACCGTCCAACAAGTCCACTAAGGTTTGGGATGCACACTGGGGATCAGTGGGGTGGCCCTGCCCAGCACAGAAAAAGCGGGATTCTTGGCCCCTCTCTCAGATGGTGTAACTGGGGCACAGGGGCCCCCAAACAGACCAGGTTGGGCTACTCACCATTGATAAAATCCAAAGGCAGAGAGACGAGAGGTAGTGAGACAAGAAAGGGATTTACTTCAGTGAGGCCACCACTGGGAAGACAGCAGGCCAGTGTCTCAAAGACTGTCTCCAAAATGCTAAAAATACCTGCAGGTTTACAGAAGGAAAGTGTGGGACTAAGGTCGGTGGGTGCCTGCAGATGGGCAGTGAAGGTCAGGTGGAGCACTGTCTTGGGGTCAGTCACGTGGGGTCTTGCTGAAGTCAGGGCAGTCCTCACTGCTTGAGGGGAGGGCTGTGGTTCTCATCACGGGATCCTTTGCCCACAGGGTCTTTCGCCTGAGTTAAGAGATAAGCTGGAAAGAAGAACAGAGTCAGGAAGCGCTGACTGAGGTTGAAATGGAGGTGGTTGAAATGCTTTGTCAGTGGGCATGGTCTTCGAGGGCCTACGGCTGGTCCAGGGCCAGCTGGTGGATGTCCTGCGCAGGGGTCCTATTGTGGCTTGGTTGCTGAGGGAGAAGCGTATGGTTCTTCCTTGCTCCCCGTCAGCCTGATAAATCGTTGAGCCAGTTGTAGGGGTCCTGGTAGCGAAGGGCTTCTGGATGGAAGAAGGAAAAATGCAAGCTGGTGCTTTTCAGCTCTTCCACTTTTGGTGTCCTGCCCAGGGATCTCTGACAAGCCAGGTCTGTTCCCCAACCAGAGTCACCCCCCGTGAGCTGGACACGGGTCCCGTGTTGATGGAGGCGTGCACCGACTGCGAAGTTGGGGTGATGTCTGGGGGCTGGCTCGCATGCTCAGTGCAGACCCTCACCACTCTGCAGCTCATGTGCATTGACTCCCCAGTGTCTTTGAGATCCAACCGCATATTTCCACATAGGTCTTATTCACCGTCTTGGCTCAACAGAGAGTCCCATGGATTGAGTCAGCCACTTCAAGGGACTCTTCTCCTTTTAATGGATACAGACTTATTTTCCAGATTTTGCTGTTCTGGGAGCATGCTGGGGCTGGACATCTTTGAGGACTGACGTGTTTTGGCACCTAGTGGGCAACGGTCACAGCTCTGGCCCTTTGAGTTTTCAGGCTGTACTCTGCTGCTCAGCAACTAATGTGTTGCCCTTGCTCGCCCTCCCTTCTCCCTCTCCATAGTTGCATCTGCCCCCAGCCCGGGCGTCCCTCCTGTACACCCATTCCCTGACCCCCGTCTTGCAGAGAGCCCCAAGGCAAGCTGAGGATGCAGATGGGCTGGTTGTCTGGCTCCTTTTTTAAGTCCTTCTGAAAGACTAAGGGAGGCCCAGATTCCACCAACCTTTCACTCGATTCATCCAAATCCTCCAATGCTAGAGTCCCAGGGGTGGTAGGATTTGAACCAGGGCCTCTGAGCACTGTCACTGGGTAATCGGGTGTCTCAGTGGAAAAGAGAAAAGAAAGGATATTCATCCTCTTTTCGTACTGTGTTGAGCCGTCTGTGGAAACCCTTTGCCATGATACTACTGGATATAAACAAAATATTTTTTTATGAGCACAGCCTCTGCTCTCGGACACACTAGGGGTGCCAAGTGAGCTCCCCGCCCTGTCCTGGGGAAGAAAAGAGCAGTGGGGTTGTGGGGGCTGGCTTGGGACATCTCTGAGGTGCTCTGGGGGGTGTTCCTCAGCAAACGCTTTCCCTTTCTGTTCCTTCTGGTAGGCAACAAAGGACAGGCATGGACTCTGCTTAAAAAAAAAGAAAAGAAAAGAAAAAGATCGTGCCTGACCTTGTTAGAACACTTAACTGTATTCAGCAGGATGCAAGTATAGGGACCCTGCAGTGAGGTTTTGCAGCAGGGGAGAGAAATGGAGCCCAACTCTGAATGTGACAAGGAGAGAGGGAATTTATAGCCAAGAAGCAGGGTGTAGGGGGATTGTCGGTTGGAAGCTACTGAAGGGAAACATCAGGGGTAAGGGGAGATTCTGGCTAAATCAACCTAACGGGTTCTTTGCTGAAAGGAGGCCAGGGCAATCAGACATTACCCAGAGGTGATGGGGGGCGAGGAATCTGGTCACTTGTTGAAGGTCATCAGCTATCAAAGATATCAGTGGGTGGTTTTTGCTAAAATTGAGCGCTTGGGGACATTCCCAAGAACAAGGTCTAGTTCGAAAACAACTCAGAGCAGCCTGCCTGGTGTGGCCCAAGGGAAACCCTCTGTCCATTCCCTCAGCCCCAGTGCACCTCCTGGGAGCTGGGGCAAGTCACCACTGCCTGCATAAATGTATTTCCTCCCGTGTAAACTGGAGCCGGTTGCCATGGAGCCGGCCGTGGGGGTCTTCAGTGGCCGCTGCTGCTATTATTACTCAGTGTCGTCACTGTTGGTGGAAGAAGGCGGGCTCTGGCTCTGTTTCTGCTTCGATGGAAGAGCTGAGTGAGTGGGAAGCCTGGCCAGCCAACATTGGCCAGGAAGGAATCCCAGCATGACACAAGGTCCGTTTGTGACTTACACAGAGTAGGCAGTGGCTGGCCCTGCCCCTGGAGACCCCCATTCCTGGTGGGGCCTGTTTACAAGCCAGCATCCCCAGGAGCAAGAAGGCAGGAAGTCAGAGGAGGAGCGGTGATGGCCCCCTGTGTCCCTCAACTACCCCAGATACTGTTTTCTGAGTGGGGCTTTTCCCAGCAATATCAGGCCCCTTCCAAGTATGCCACATGGGAGGGACATAGAGCCCTGCCCACCCCGTTGCTGGGGGTCCGGGGAGGGGGGTTGGGAATAGCATGGCCTTCCCCCACCCAAGTGATACCCCCCCCCGCATATGTACATTGACTGAAAAGTTGAGTGTAAAGCCCTTTCTGTGAGATGGAGAAGGTGCAGCACCCCAGGAGTGTCTACGGGGGGCCAGGGAGAAGTCCGAGCTGGCTAGGAGGGCAGAGGCCGGACAGGCACCTCTGAGGGGCGAGGGATGGAAATCAAGTGTCCAGCAAAGCTGCTCACACACCTGTCTGGGCAGAAGGTGTCGGAGTCATCTGGGGAGCTGGGTCCCAATTTCCTGGGGCTTGATCGGGCTCCCTTTCCTCTCCCACATGGTACTGATGAGCTGAGGGTTTAGGAACCACCGGTCTGAGTCTCAGGTTTCAGCCCTGCTCTTCAGATGGCTGGCCAGATCCCCACTTCCCCTCCTAAACAATGGCATTTCCACAAGAGGAGGATGGAGGGCTCCCCCTCCTAAGCCCAGGATGGGTGAGTTGGTTTGTTCACAACATCAGGCCATCCCAGAGAAAAAGGCAGAAGGATGAAGTGTAGAACAGGGACACAGCCCTGGGGGCACCAGCTGTTCAAGAAAGAGTCAGAGATGCAAACCTGAGCCCTCACGTGTAGACAGGTGCACAGGGCCCCGCTGATAGTGTTCCCTGAGCCTGAGCAAGCAAAGCCATCCCTGTCCTTTCAGCAGACACCAAGAGCCCACTGTGCCACCCTAGTGATCAAGGGCCTCCTGCATGTCAGGCCCCAGGGACCCCGAGAACAAGAAGACATGTGCCCCTATGTTTCACGGAGCGGAGAGTCAGGAAGGAAGGAAGCGGCAGATGTGCTGAGAGCCAGAACAGGCCATGACCTGGGGTGGCTGCGTGGCTTGGATGGTGCAGTTATTTTGGCAGGGGTCAGAGGACAGGGAAATCTTCACTGAGTTGGGGTCACTGGGTCTGGGGCTTCAGGGGAAGGATTTTCCCAGGTGGAAATGTCAAACGTCCTATGCTCTGAGCTGAGCAGGAGCACAGGACTGATGAGATTGCATCAAAGCCCAGAGAAATTGGAGCCTTGCAGTTATTAGGAAGTCCTTCTTTCCATCTTTCCCTGCTCTCTCCTCCTTTTGC